GTCCAGCCGAGTGGACTCCAGCCTGTCCGCCCTTTACCCTTCTCGTTGAAGCCGCTGCACTCCGTGCCCACCTCTAAGGACTCAAAGTTGTTCTAAGAGGGATTTCTCAAGTCTCGTGCTCCGTAGGAGGGAGCATACGTAAGTGGGTGCTCAGTAATTAACTTGTACGAACGACCTATAAAGTAATCACAACTCTTCCTATGTGCTAGTCTCTGGTCACTCCAACTACACCAGTGGGGGAATCTAGTAAGGTTTCGTCAAAGTTAGCAAAGGATTTGCAGAGAAACATCGCCAAACACCGACCCGCGCCTCACACCGAGTGACGGGCAGGCCCACTGTGCTTCCGGGCCAGCCCCAGGCTTACCTCTTGCTGAGCGAGCAGCACCCTCCGCTCACGCTCCTTCTCCTCCTCCCGGGCCCGGGCCTCATCGCGCCGCACGCGGGCGACATTGTCCTTGTTTCGGACGTGCCAGCTCTTCTTGGGCAAGATATTCATGGCTCCGTAGCCGACCTCCGACCATCAGGCCCACTCTCAAACACTTCCGATTGGCGCGAGGATGTCACCGCCCCATGGTCCCACCCTCGCCTGCGCATTGGTTCTGGGCCAATTGTCACGCCCCCTCATGGCCTCGTTTAGAGGTGATTGGCTAAGAGGACCTCCATCACAGCAAATCCTAAACGCTTGCTACCTGAGTTGCTCCAACCGGACGCTGCCGTAGGAGGCTGATGATGCCCTGCCTATCTAGCCCTTCAGGCAGACACAAGCAGGCCCCTCCCCAAACCCTGCCCAGGGCTTCAGAACCGGGTTTCAAAATGCATAGCGGCCTCGGCTGTTGTTTATTAATACGGTTCAACTGAGACAATGGCACTTGGTGGCAGAGGGCGTGGGATTCGATTCCAGAGATGATCTCTTGATATATGAAGTCACTGAGGCGTAGAATGGGTCTGAGGGGCTGAAGGTGGGACAGCATTTCCAGCCAGACTGGTCAGATATCTCCATTACCTGAGCTCAGAGCCACAGCTCTCCGGGCTAGGAAGACTTTATTCTGCGCTTCCTAAAGGCAAAGGGGGCGGAAGTGAGACACCTTCTCTTCACCCATGTCCTTCTTCCTGTGTTCTCAGGGAGCCCTTCCCGGGGAACCAGCCTGGCTCACCGACTCTATCTGGCGTTTGAGCTCAGAAATGAGGCGTCCGTAAGAGTTAGCCAAGGCTACTGTATACGCCATCAGGATGCTAAGGAAGACAGGAATGAAAGTCACTCCAGGGGGGAAAAAATGTGTATATATATCCTCATCATATGGCTCCTTAGAAACCAGGATCAGGAACCTCAAAAACCTTTTGATTCTTCTATTCTCTTCTGCCTCAGACCAAGGAATCCATAGACCTCTGCCTCCTCCTTCGGACCAGGAGTCTAGGCTGCAGACCTCCTTTAGACCCAGGGTTCCAAACCCAGACTTCTTTTCTTAGACCCAGGAGCCCAGACGCCAACCCTCCTGCTCCAGGTCTAGGTGGTCCCTCGATCCCTTCCATCCCACATAGGTATCCAGCCTGCAGCCCTCCCCTCTAATACAC